AGTGTTACAGCTCAGTTGTGACAGCAACCTGGATCCAGGTGAGAGACCAAGCAGCACTCGGAGGGTTGGAGAACTCAGGTTTATTACACCAGCAGGCCCAGAGGAATTAACACTCCAAGCTCTGGACCCCGTCTGTAGGTTTACACAGGCTTTTATAGGCTGCCAGTCTACTCTTTGCAACATCATATGCAAATAAGGTGTAACAAAGTTGATTAAGGAACGGGCTTTGTAGAAATGGACCAACCAGGAGTGAGCTCTATGCAAATGAAGTGCTACAAATGGACCAATCAGGAGTTAGCTCAGGGAACCAATAGAATCTTAGGGGTAAGATCCTCTTTCCTAGAAGCAAGCTGTTTCAGAGGCAAAAAGCGAGATAATGCTGCTGGGCCAGGGAACTGGAAGGTGCTGGCAGGAGAGTAGTGGCCCTGCCTGGGAGTCCTGCCATCTGTTTCATGGGGCTTCCCACCTCACTGAAAAGTAAAAACTCCTGAGGGATGAAAATTGATAGCTAGTCAATCCCAAGCATCCAAAATTATTCTGTAGACTGTTTCCATAGACTCTAGGGCTGGAATTTCCTTGGTGAGCCTCTGGTAAGAAGGATCTTGGCCACACTGCTCCACTCCAGAACAAACTGGACCCAGGCTACATGCTAATCCCTTGGAGCTCTGGTTAGATCACAGCAGAATTCTGGTGACCTTAGAATTCTGGGTCCACTCAAACCAGGAGCAACCTCCAAGAGGGCACAAAAGCTATAGGCCTACTTTCTAACTATCAAATGTTTTTAAGTCTCCCCAAACTTTCTAAAGAAAAGTCAGTTTGTTACAGATTCACAAGTTGAAGACCCAGTTCATTCTTCTGAGACCAACCTCTAACAAGCACAGAAACTCATCCAGATACAACCTCCCAAGATCAGAGCTTCCAAAAATCAGAATCACTTGGGGAGCATTTTTTTTAAGTTTCTTTTTAGTTGAGATAAAATTCATATAACATGAAATTAACCATTAACTATTTTGAAGTGTACAATTCAATGGCATTTAGTACAGTCACAATGTTGTATGACCATCACTTGTATCCATTTGTAAGACATTTTCATCACTCCAAAAGAACACTCCACATCCATTAAGAAGTCATACCTGAGGAAAAATTTTAAAGTACATATTCCAAGACTCCATACCCGAGAGACTGAAATTCAGCAGACATGGAAACATTTTTCAAAACTTTTCAGATATCTTACTCCTAGGTATTTACCTAAGAGAAATGAAAATGTACATCTACCCAAAGAGCTATCTATGAATGTTTATAGCAGCTTTATTTATAGTCACCCAAACTTGGGAATAACCTAAATGTCTCTCATTGGAGAAATATAAACAAACTGTGATACATCCATACAATAGATTAGTACTCAGCAATCAAGAGAAACAAACTTTTGATACAAGCAGCCACAAGGCTGAATCTCCAGTACAGTATACAAAGTGAAGGAATCCATTTTCCATACTATATTCCATTCATAAGACATTCTAGAAAATGCAAAACTATAGTGACAGAGAACAGGTGAATGGTTTCCAGAGTTTAAGGGTGGGGATAGGTTTTGAGTACAAAGAGCAAAAGGGAGTTTTGGGAGGGGTGATAAAATTGTCCTGCATCACAGTTGTGGTAGTGGTAACAAACATTTGTCATAGCTCATAGAACTTGACACCAGAAAGTGAATTTTACTGTGTTGGAATTCTAAAGTAAATTGGAAAACATTTTAAGCTTCTCTGAATGTTTCTGATGTATGGCCTGTTTGGGGAACCAGTACACAGAGAACACTGAACAACCTGGTTATTCTATAACCCAGTCAGGTCACACTTTGGACACTTGGGGCCTGACAACTTACCCTTACTGTCTCCCTGCATATCATCATGGCATTTGGATATTTCCACAGACAAGAAGTATAAAAGTAAGCCATCAGGTGTGGCAGATCACAGACATGACCTATGCAGTGTTTTTGTGCTAGTGTTTGTCAAACAGAAATCACCGCACCAAATATTCTAAAGTCATTTTAAAAACATGAGTTATGCATTATCTCTTAGATTAATCGTAATCATATTCATAGAGAAATCATTTCCACTGATGGAGATCAGAAAGCAACCTATGAACTTACCAAAACATGTATTTAACATATTTAACAAAATATCATGTTTAACAACTTGTTTTTAAGATTCCCCCCCAAATCAAAACCGAAACCGAAACCCAGAAGTTTTTATGTGATAAATGTAATGATCCTAACCAATGTGAGTGCAGGTCATTTTGATTATTTTTATATAATTTGTCACCTATTTTACAAAAAGGAAGACAAGAGGCTTATTTGGCCGAGCTGCAAAGTGAGTCAGTGGCGTATTTGACAACAGACTCTTCAGAGATCCCTTTATTTGTGAAAATTTAGAACTATGGAAAACAAATGAAAATTGTGCACAGATGTTTACGTGGAGTAACCAGCCGCATTAACTGTGGGTCTAACCTTGTGCCTAATCTCATTAAAAAAAAAAAAAAGCCATATCCTGTTGTGGTTGATCATCTACTCAAACAAGGTGGCTAGAATTCAAATAGAAACTTCCAGGTATACAAAGAAAAGAGACAAGAAGTCGGCAAAGTTTAGATTGGAAGATAATGCGAGTTTCGCCTGCAGGACAAAGGAAAACAAAGCAGAATGTGCCCCGTGGAGTGAGAGAGATCTAACTGTTGTTTCCATCCAGCTAGAGTAGATTTTCTAATTTGCAATTTTTGCTTGCCCTCGCCTCAAACTATTTCTGTTAATACTATTGCTTTGCTTCCTCATCACTTTGCAAACGATTGCATTCTGCTGCTTTTTTTAGAGTTGCTTGTGCCTGAGAGGAAATGGAGCTACAAGTGTTTCCTTTCCATTCAAAACTGGCACTTTTTTTGTAGTGGGGGAAGAAGCTGAGGACTCACATCTTACTCCCAGCAGTTTGAGATAGCACTTAGTTTTCCATAAGTCTCTCTAAAAGTCCTTATGTTGTAAATTTATACATTTTATCACACCCTCCAGGAAGCAAGCTGGGCAACTTCTCCTGATGCCAGATGGCTCAGCAGACTTCTCTGATGTTGCCACTGGATTGCACATCCCTGCTTCTCTTATCCCACACCCCAAAGTACATCTACCTAGAAAGTGTAAAATACTCATTATTTCACTGGTCCCTAGGCGGAAGTTCCTTCACCTTCACCGTGGGGGAGTCACTCCCACCCATAGTGAATCTTCCTCCACCTTTCCAACCTAAGCACCTCTTAGGTGTACCGTCCTGGAGCCCCAGAGTTAAGCCAGGCATTCTCTTAAATAATCTATACATATGGTTTAAAATGAAAATAATGTTGAGGAGTTGCACAAATTTGGTAGTAAGAGATGACTTTATAGGAAAATCACCATGTTTATTTATTACATAAGTCAGAATTGTTTTGGTTGTAAGTGACAGACCATATTTGAATTAGCTTAGGGAGAGAAGGGCATCTATTGACTCATGTAACAAGAAAGGATCAGGGAAAGAATAATTCAAGGGCTTGAGACACCAGTACATTTTCCCTCTCTGCCTCTTCTGCTTTTCTCTGCAAGTGGAGGGTATAGCAGGATTTGGAGACACATATTTCAATTTTACCATAAAAGAAGAGAGAAAGAACACATGTGTGTGTACATGCTCATTTGTGTGCATACACACACACACACACATACACACACACACACAACAAACATACTGAGAAGATTCAGACTATATATTAGAGCAGCAAGGTGCAAGGGAACAATTCTCCAAAAAGAGGGGGAAGCACAGACAAGGCCCCTGGGGAATTGGTTCTGAACTAGAAACAGATTATTTTTATCTTGAGGGTTCATTTCCAGGCATAAAGCCTCCTATTCCCAAGAATACACTTACATCAGTTTGAGAAGCACAGACAGATATCATACAGCATTTTAGAGGGGCCTCAAACTTATGTCCTATGAAGAATTTTCTAGAGAAGCACTGTCTGTTCTCTGATAAGACACTGAGATGGATTCTGAGAGCCTCAGGAACCTGGGGGAGGCAAGACACAGAGAGAGTTAAAGTCCTTTTTAGAAAGGAGTTAACAGCAACGTTAGGTTATGGAAAGAGAAAAGAGGATGGAAGGGCTAGAGTGAGAGAGAAGAACGAGTGAGCATAAGCCTGGGCATTACATTAAAAATCCCTAGTCATGAGAAAGCCAAGGAACCCCTAAAAATTAGGAGCTGTCCATGAAATTTGAAGTTGTTTGTGTTGCTGTAGTATAAGTCCTCTGACAGAGACAGATTCGGTGTTCTACAGGTCCATTTTTTTTCTTCCTGGGTTCAAAACTAGACTACATTTCCCAGCCACCCTGGCGTGGAATGTAGATATAGCCAGAGCACTAGTTCTAGTCATTGGAAGTGGGCAGCAAGGATGGGTGGCCCCTCCAGGCCTGGCTAATGTAACTCCCACATTATTCTCTACTCTGCCCTCTCCTGCAGGCTGGTGACAGAGGACCAGATGGAGGACTCCATGCCCCCAGAAGATGCTGGAACCACTAGACAAGAGGAGCCTCTGTCTGTGAATGGCTTGGTGGATCAGGCCTCTTCCAACCTCCATCAGACTGTGACATGAGTAAGAGATCATCCTTTTGCGTGTTTGCTCTAGTTGTCACATTATTGCAATTGGGGCTTATTTGTTGTAGTGACTGACTTATTCTGACTAATATAAACTCCTACTCAGATCTACACCCCCTCTCAGGTCTTCAAAAAGTCTACTAGAGACGTGTAGATGTCCTATGAGGGTGGGAGCCTTGAGGAGATCGTAACAGAGGCTGAGTTTCACAACCAGGTTAACAGGGCATGGAACAGAAACTGCATTTACAGGAAAACAGTGCATTCCATAATTTAAAGCCATTTACAGAAGTATGGCCAGACATGACCACAGGATCAGAAATTTACAGAAGTATTGGAATGGGTTTTGATTTCTACAGAGCATGGAATGAAGGAGGCCTTATGGAACTTTATCTAGATGTGAAGGGAGTAACAAGTGGATTATGTTGCTATCTTTATGTGGGTCCGGGTGCTATGAGTGAAAATAGTTTTTGACTAACATGTCAAGGATGGAGACTGCAAAACTCTTATGACCACGAAATCCTGAATCAATATGTATATCACTTGGATGCTTACAGAATTCTTTTCTACTGAGAAATCCCTGATAGACAGCCGAGCAGGATTTATTTACCAGGCAATGAAAAGAGCAGCCAGGATCTACTTCCCAGTGTCAGTTACAGTCTCCCCATTTTTATCTCTCCTAGCTCACATGCTGTTGTTTTCCTTTAGGGCATTAATGAGATACTTATTAATGCATTTATTCTTAGATGTTTTTGTTTCCCCCCTTAGACTCTAAGCTCTATGAAAACAAGGTCTGTGTCTGTTTCACCCTTATTGTATCCCTGGCACCTAGCACAGTGCCTGGCACACACTTCAGGAATATTTATTGGAATGAAATCTGTAGGTGTGTTTGTTGGAATAAAGTGAAATCTGTACATGTGAGAGCCTCAGTTAGCCACCTGTTGACCTTGGAGAATTCACCTCCTAATTTAGTTTTAAAAATCAAATATTGTTTAACTGTCTGACAATTTGAAAATGCATTACTACCTTTCTTTATGTAAAGAACAAATGGCATTTATCATACATGAATATATGAGTTCTCATACATGAATTTAATCCTAGCAACAGCTATGTAGGGTTATTATTATTATTGTTATTATTATTGATAACATCTGCTTCTTCCTAGAAGACACATGAATCCTTTTTCCATGCATTATATAGCCCAGGCTGAGTTTGAAACTGAGTGTCTCTTTCCCTTCAATCCAGGCAGCAGCAATATTAAGTAAATAGCCTTCCTGGCTGAACCTCAGCTGACCTGCCTACTGGAACCTTTCTTATCAGAGTTCCAGGAATAATCACTTTTGTTTTTTAAGAACAAGATATTGATAGAATATAGCAGTATCCTTTTTTCAGATTGCTTTGTGCAAGTCTGGCAGTTTTTCCTCAAACAGTACAGCCTAGACTCATAATTACGCTTTTCCTCACCACATCCCACCTTCCCCCAGCCACTGGAATACAGGAGCCCAGACTTGCACCTTGGTACTGTATTAGCAGTTCTGAATCATTTTGTGCAAATTTGTATTGAATATATCCTTACCTCTTCTCCTTTGTTCACTTGTGAGCTTATGGGGGCAGATTTTATAAATAACTATCCATTTTCTTTTTTCCTTCATTCTGAGAATGCGTCCTTAGGATAATTATTGTTTCATAGAATAGCAGAAAAAAATGAAAAATATAATCTACATCAACCTCTCCATTTTATAGATGAGTCAACTAAAACCTAAAGTAACGAAGTTTGCTTGCCTGACATCATATAGCCAGTTAGCAGCAGATCACTTTCCCTCTGATTTTACTTCAGTATTTGTCATATGTTGATATTCCACATGACATCTTCACAAGCACAACAGCCTCACTCACACACCAAATGACTGCTTTGAGTTCATCATGAAATTCAAAGTAATTTACAACATACCATTTTAAGCAGATACAGATCACTTCAGAGCAGAATTGTTAGTAATGGTAAATTATACTAAATCACTTGCAATTTCTCCAATATGCCACATGATTTTGTTAAACCTCCATGCTAGCATACGTGATTTTACCTCATCTCATTAGGAAAGCGGTGCATTCCATAATCTAAAGCCATTTACAAAAGCAGGGTCAGACGTGACCATGGGATCAGAAACTTAAGGAATTTACAGAAGAAAGGACTCTCCTTTCTTGCCTGATGAACTCTTTTCATCCATCAACACCTAGATCAAATGTCACCTTCTCTTTGCTGGCTTTCTTGTCTCCTCAAGGACTCTCTTCTTTGTATTGCCAAGGCTCTTTATTTTAAGTTTAGGCTCCATGAAGCTGAACACCTCGAGGCCAGGACCTTGTCTATATGCTTCTCCCAACACCCAGCACTGATAGACACATTATTAATGTCACTGAAGGAGTAAGTGAATGAATGAATAAGTAAATTGAATTAAACATTGTTTGCCAAAAATTATTCACTTCTTGGGAGATACAGCAGAGAAGAAGGAAAATTAAAGATGCCTTTTATATTCTGTCAGCATGGTTCTTCTGGCTGCTAAATGACATAAACGCTGTTGGCGTTTGAGGGCTAGTCTCTGGCACATAAGCAACATGACTATTGAATAATGACATTACTTTAAGTAAATCACCCAAAATGTCTCACAATCAGATAATCATACCTTTGAGGGATTTTTCTAAAGATTGGGCCATCTCTCCATTACCTCAAAGTGAAGTAAGTGGAACCATTATCCTCTCTTTCTTCTATAATATGTGTATAAATGAATGAGGCTGATAAGCAAATATTTGTTATACTTTCTCTGTGTCTAGTTGTATGAAAATACCAAGAATTTTTTTGAATTTTAAAAGTAACTATATGTCTTGCAAGAGTAGACTTTCATCCAAATTCAGTAATTAAAAAAATAATATGTTCAGCCTATTCTACTTACTAAGATTTAAAATAATAATAGTAACGGGTAACTTTGTTGAGCACTCATTATGTGTACCATGCTAGGGACTTGGCAGGCAGTCATTTAACCCTAACAACAACAATGGAAGGTAGAATCACTCTTCTTTTATAAATAAGGCATTCAAAGGGTCAACTTTCTTCTCAACATCACTGCTAGTCTGGGGAGAGCTGGCACTTGAGTCCAGATGTGTTTAACTCCAGAGCCTGGACCTTTAACTACCGCTGCATATAGTCTTCCCTACACTTCAGACAATTTGCAGAGTCTAGGTCTAAAAACAGAAAGGCTTCTAGCTAATTCTCAGTTGATCAGAAAAGTAAACCAGCCCATCCTCCCATGCAGTTTGCTCCTTGGTTTATATTACAGACCCACTCTCACTTTGAACTGAGGATATACTGCGTATATACTATACACATATACAATATCCTTAGGAGTAATGAAGATAGAGTTGCCAGATTTAGGAAGAAAAACAGATCCTTAGGTAAACAACAAATAGATTTTAGGATAAATATGTCTCATGCAATATTTGTGTTTCATCTGGCAACTCTAATTGAAGATACCACTAGTTCCATACCAAAGGGATTAGTGGTCCTATCATGTGGTTTATAAGAAAATTTAACAGGAAAATGATAAATTAAAGATGACCAATAATTCTTTGCCATTCCTCCAATTGAGAAGATCAGTTTATTTGCCTCCTTTTGAATCCTGGCTGGCCTTAGGGACTCACTTGACAAACAGAATGTGGCAAAGTGACATTCTGTGATTCCTGAGGCTAGGACACAAGAAACCTAGCAGCCACCACCCAGGTCCCTTTGAATTCTCTAGAATCCCTGAGAAGGGTGGAAAGAAATCCAACTACCCTGAGACCACCATACAAGAGAGAACACATGTAGGTGCCCTGGTTGACAGTACTTGCTGAACCCAGACTCTAGCCAGCCCTGCTGAGATACCAGACATGTAAGCAAAGCCATCCTGGGGACTCCAGACCAGCCTACCCACAAAAGAATACCGAGTGACTCAGCTGACACTACATGGAGGAAAAGAAACACCAAGCCCTGCCCAAATTCCTGACACACACAATCATGAACTATAAAAACAGTAGTTGTTTTCAGGCACTAAATTTTGGGGTCCTTTGTGACACAGCAGTAGATAATCGGAACTATTTTATTATTTAGTATTTTAATAATTGTCCAGAATACCAGAAACAGGGTGTTTTCTCACATTAGAAACATAATCTTGATTAAACCAATACCAAGATCATACTTAATGGTGAAAGCAAAAGAGATATTATCTGTTAACATCAAAAATACAAGAATGATTACTCTCAAAATTAGCATTTAGGCCTGGAATTTTACGTATATTTCAATGAGCAGTAGTAACCCAAAATTCATTAATTCTCTTGGGTATCTGATATGTCTCGTAGCCTGGCCTCACATCCTCTCAGCCCACCTTCTCCTCCAGCCACTACTGGGAAACCTGCTTCTTGCACCTTGCTTCAGCTGCACTTCATCACTCTAGCTCTTCTGCTCTGGGGCGTCTCTGATACCCTGACATCCGGGAGAATGCCCACAGGAAGCTGCTCAGCACCCAGGTGTACACCTAGAGCATGAGAGCTTGGCCATGAGACTTGTGCAGTGTCACAGGCTCTGTGCTTAGGAGGGCCCCAGGCTTGGTTTAAGATTCTGCTGTCAATATCTTGAATTCTTTACTACTTTTTGAACACGGATCTATAAATTCATTTTGTATCAGGCCTCACAAATTCTATAGCTGGTCCTGTACACACCCATGGCAATGAGAACCCTTGATCAGAGCTGCAACAGAATCTGGTGGGTAGATACCCTCTTCCTCTGTCCCTTGAATGGACAGTTCTGAGACACATTCTACATGGCTCCAAGGAAGATGCCCATCCCCCATCCTGAGTGACCACTTGAGAATAAACATTTGTATTGGCTTTCTTCCTTCACTGTTTTTCTTCTCCAACCCGCAATCTTATATGAGATCACTTCCCAAAATGCGTACAAGCCCTGGTAGCAGCGAC